CACCACCCCAGAACTCCCACTCGGTTGCAGCACCTAAAAGGGTTGTGTGTGTGCGTGTATGCGCGCGTGTGTGCACGGACATGTGCGCGCACCAAACCCAAGGTGAAGAGAGTGACATTTAGTGAGCACCTACTCCATGCCAGACACCGCTGTTCAAGGCTGAGAAGACAACAGAGACGGGACACGTCTCAGCTGTCACAGCCGGTAACTTTCAGAGTGATATAGTTCTACCCAAGCTTAGGGACCCCAAAGCCTTCTTCAAATGTGCCGAACCATAGAGTTCTTTTAAAAGGGGGGGGGAGGAAAAAGAAAAAAGAGAACACCACAAAAATAACCTCGGAGTTACACACATTTTTAATTCTTACCCAAACTCTTGGGGTTGATGTGTGCACTTCTCAGATAAAGAAACTGAAGCTGGGAGAGGTGCCCAAATCTACACAACTAATAAACGGAGCGGGGAGCTAAAATTGGAACTCAGGGCTGCGGAGTTTCTTCTTTACTAGTTAACAAAATTATACAGGTTTCAGGCGCACAATTCTACCACGCATCCTCTGTACACTGTACTGTGTGTTCACCCCCTCAAGCCGAGTCTCCTTCCATCACCATTTACCCCCCGACCCTCCTCCCCGCCCCCATCCACCCAGGCAAATACTACACTGTTGTCCGTGTCCATGAATTCTTTCTCCTTGTTTTCTTTTTTGCTCAATCCCTCCGCCCTGCCACCCCCCAGTAGTCGTCAGCTTGCTCTCTATCAATGGGTCTGCCTCAATTTTGCTTGTTAGTTCATTTCCTTTATTAGATTCCACATATGAGTGAAATCATATGGTATCCGTCTTTCTCTGACTGGCTTATTTCACTGACCATAATACTCTCCAGGCCCGTGCATGCTGATGAAAAGGGTGAGGTTTCCTTCCTTTTTATAGCTGAGTAGTATTCCACTGTATAAATGAACCACAGCCTTCTTATCTACTCGTCTACCGATGGACACTTGGGCTGCTCCCAAATCTTGGCTTTGTAAATGCTGCAATGAACATAGGGGTGCACGTATTCTTTCAAATTAGTGTTTGGGGTTTCTTCATATATATTCCCAGAAATGAAACTGCTGGGCCATGAGGCCGCTCCCTTTTTAACTTTCTGAGGCCGCTCCGCACTGCTTTCCACAGGGGCCGCACCTCCTGCCCTCCCGCCAGCGGCGCACGAGGGCCCCCTCCTCCGCAGCACCTGCTGTTTGCTGGCCTATTGATGGGAGCCATTCTGACAGGTGTGAGGTGGTATCCCATTGTGATTCTCCTTTACGGGGCTGTGGAGTTTCAGAGCCTGGGCGTGCGGCTTGTGGACAGGCAGCTGGGACCTAGACCCCGTCAGCCTGGGTCCAGGCCTCGCAGGGCACCGTGGGACGTTTGGCAGCACCCCCGGCTACTGCTCACTAGAGGGCAGGCGCACCCCACACCCAGTCGTGACAACCCAAAATAGCCAAATGTCCCCGGGGGGGACAAAGTCACCCCAACTGAGAACCATGGGCCTAGGTGTAAACCCTGCTTCCACCACCTCCTAGTGACATGACATCGGACAAGCCACTTACCCTCTCTGAACCCCACTGTCCTCATCTGTAAAATGGAAAAATAATGGTACGTGAGGTCAATGTGAGGATCCAATAAGAACTGGGACAGCACTCGGCCGCCCGTGGAAGGGCTCAGGACACAAGCTCTAGCCCGTAACCCTCTGCTACCTGCGCTCCCAACCAAGGACCGCTCGGCGCAGGCGCACAGAGAGGGCGGGCTCCCGCGTGGACACTGGAACGCTGTGGGAACCAGCCTGCTCACCCGTGAACGAGGCCCATTCCAGTGCGGGCCCTAGGACACTTGCCGCCCGAGGGGGCCCTGGCAGACCCCCTCTCACCACTGCTGGGCAGCTTAAGGGCTCCACGGCCAGGCTGCCCAGGTTCACGTCCAGCTCGGCCCCTCATGACCTCCGTGACGCTGGGCTCGTGACCGAGCCTCCCGAGGCCCTGGTTTCCTATCCTGCGCAGTGGGGCGGTTGCGGGGCCTGCCCCCAGGGCTGTGAGCGTTCAGCGACTTAGCGCGCACAAGCAGCGCCCAGCACAGGAGGGGTCTCGGGGGTGCCTGCTGTTTCAGCGCCGACCTTGCGCAGCCGTCCGGCCACCTGGGCCACCTCTGTCGTCTCCCTGGCGTGCCAAGCCCAGCCCCATCGCAGGCCTTGGCACGTGCCAGTCCCTCTGCCTGGACACTAGCATTGCTCCCACCCTTGCTTCTTCATCTGGGTCTCCCTTCATCATGCCTCTTCCGAGAGGCCTTCCTGGACTACCCTAAAGAGATAGCAGTGTCATCACTGCCCTCACTCAGGTGCAAACCCAGGATTCATTCCCGGGCCAGGAGCTCTCAGGCACCACCCTCTGACACGGCATTTCAGACTCCGTGCGGCACAGCGCACTGCAGTGCGGCGCAGCAGAGCAGGGAATGACTGCTTGGCTCTCCCACTGAAACAGGCGTTCCGAGACACCAGAGCACTTGATGGGTGACCAACCATATTCCTAGGGCGGTGCCTAGCACATAGTAGGTGTAAATAACCATAACGAATGATATTTTGCAGAAGGGGTTTCCAAAGTCCTCGTGTAACCCATTTTTCCTGACACAGGCATCACTTAAACTGGGATCTAAAAAGAGTTTGCCACAAAAGACTTTGCTTCTCGCAGCCTTTCTAGAACAGCTGCATTTCAGAGACTTCCTGATGGATGGGAATTTCTCAAACTGTGTTCCCTGACATTATGGTCTCCTGAGAGCCAGGAAGAAGGAAGTTCACCTCCAGCAATGATTCACAAGGTCACAGACGTTGGGAAACAATGCAGAATGCGCTCCTGCCCGTGGTTTCACGGTGCGTAAGGAAAGCCCCAAGAAGCCCTGCAGAGAGAACGGACACTGTGCCCGGCGTGTACCCCGAGGCCCCGCCCATTAATGTCGGCATCGTGAAGCACAACTGGGGGAAATGCTGCAGTGCCAGCCTTTCAGTTCCCAAAGGCAGACGGAGCCTGAGGCCCAGAGAAGCTAACCGAGTCACCCCAGCTCACACCGCCACCTCCTGAAACACGCAGCAGGGCGCTTGTCACTGCCGCCACGTTCCCCTAATGGCCCACTTAGCTGTCGGCTCACAAGAGGTGAAACACTGAACACAGCCCTCAGATTCCAGCGTCGGTTTGACTGAATCATTTACCAAAACTAATGTACCAAACAGGGTTTGCTTTCAATCGCACCATTCCAGGAACAGTCGGTTATTCATTCAACAAACACTTAGGAAGTGTTATGGGCCCCACACCGCACATTGCACAGCGAATAGGACACAGCTGCTCAGTGCACTGACAACAGAATTATCTCTAAAGAGAGCCACATCGATCGCGCTGTCCTTGGTCAGCCTGCTTGAAGGAGGGGCCAACTGGAAGAAATTCCGCGGTTGACATTTCATTTGCTCCCATTAACAACGCTCCCATGTAGGTCTAACGGCCGAGAGCCGCTCTCACCAGCCCTGGTTCTGGAATCAAGTGCCCCCCTCTGTGCAGACTGCAGAGAGGAGACGGGAAGTGACTGGGACTCACTGGGCACTTTGCAGAGCACCTCAAGCAACAGATTTTCCAATTTCCAGTTCATTCCCATGTTCCCACTAGTTCCTACATTGTAGCTAAAATGCATCCCCTCATTTCTCATTGTCTACAAATAAAACTTCCTGTTTAAAAATGGCATTTGTTTTTTAAAGCTTATCAGCACACACATGTCAAAGTCCTTCAGAAAGCATGGTTAATCAAAAGCCACATAACTTAAAAACTCTACAGACGAGGCTGAGAAAGGTCTAGTTATTACTTCATATGATCTTCTCACTGAACTGATAGAAACTGCGTGGGAATCAGAGAACTGTTCTATGTTACGCTATTTTAAGAAGAAGCTGCCCAACCCGAAAAAAAAAAAACATATTAGAAGCCCAGGCTTGACACATTCACATTTGATGCCCTGGCATTGAAGGTGCTTTCAGCAGAGAATCAAGATGTATGTATCTAATAAAATAAAAAAATCCTGAAACATTGGAAGCTCATCAAGGTCCCTTGGCCCTGAATACATCTTAAAGGCCAAGCTGTCTGTAAGGAAAATAAACGTACGCTTCCCAGGCCAGCGGACGTCTTCCCTGCTTTGAAAGGATGCTTCACAATTCCTCCAGGAGCCAGCCTAAAAACCGGCCTGGCACAGCAAAGATAATCACCCCACCGCACGCATAATTTGTGTTCATTAGACACACAACAAGTCAGAAGATTTCCTCAGCTGTAGGCAAGACACACAGAGCAGATGCTGCATAAACACAGGCCGGGGGAGCAAGGCGGGGAGAGCCACATGCCCCATCAGCGCCACACGCTCGCTGAACCTGTCACTGAAAGAGCCACTGAACCATCCATTCAATTAAAAGAGGAGGGGAGAGTATATTTTTTAAAGACCAAGGCCCACTTTTCTTTCTTTCTTTCTTTTTTCTTTTTTTTTTGAACCAAACACCACCTCTAAAAGGACCATTGGTCCCTGTCTGGCAGGCTGGGGTGTGTGTGACTGAGTTTGTTCCAACCGCTTCTGCCAATCCTTTGAACAACCAACCAACCAGGTGAGGTTTCTAAGCACAAAGGCTACTACACAGAGACAGGAAAGACAGCAAACTGAGCAACACTGGAAATGCGCGTGTGTACTCCACATGCTTCTTCTTTCTAACAGGTTTTTTTTTTTTTTAATTGACTTGAGAGAGAGAAAGAGAGGGAAACACGGCTTTGTTGCTCCACTTATTTACGCATTCATTGGTTGTTTCCTGGATGCGCCCTGACTGGACATGGAACCTGCAGCCGCGGTCCATCGAGGATGACGCTCTAACCAACTGAGCCGCCGGCCAGGGCCGCGCTCCGCAGGCTCCTTACTGTCGGCGCCGTTCTATAGATCCACAAAGAGCATTTCTTATGTAGTTTAATGGAATCCACTCGGGGTGAAAGTAGTTATTTTGCCTAATGAAATCTCCCCCTCACAGTCCAGCTCCCAGATAGACTCGGCGGCAGGGTCACCGTCTGGGGGGGCCCGTGAGATCTGGGCCACACAATCAAGAGGGCCCTCCGCGTCCTTGTCCGCCTCCCTGTCCCCCAGGCTCACGGCGTTGGGGATCATGCGGCTGTGGGCGGCCGCCATCTCCTTGCAGGAGGCGGTGTCCTGGGTGGAGGAGATGAGCTCCATGCTGAGGTTCACCGTCTCCACCTGCGTGCGGGAGCGGAGGGGGCTGCACCCCAGAAGCTGGGCAAACACCTCCCGGAAGTCCGCGTTGAAGGCGTAGATGATGGGGTTGAGGGAGGAGTTGGCCCAGCCAAACCAGACAAAGACGTCGAAGGTGGTCTCGCTGACGCAGGGGAGGCCCTCCTGCAGGTCCTCCGGGTGCCCGCTGCAGAAGGGCACAAGGCAGTTCAGGATGAAGAAGGGCAGCCAGCAGCACACGAAGACCCCCATGATCACCGACAGGGTCTTGAGAACCTTGGTCTCTGCGTTGATAGAGACCCTCAGGCTGGCGTCTGGCGCGCAGGCCGCGCGGCCCCGGCAGTTCTGCGCATGCTCCGCGGCCCTCTCCAGGGTGGAGATCCTGCGGATCTGCACCTGCGCGATGCGGTAGATGCGCGTGTAGGTCACGATCATGATGGCCACCGGGATGTAGAAGCTGATGAGCGAGGAGGAGATGGCGTAAGTTCGGTTCAGGCTGGAATCACAGTTCTTCCCCCTCTCCTCTGGCTCCCTCGCTTCCTCCCAGGACGTCCCGTTGGTCAGGTTGGATGGCGGGTCCATGTCGCCCCAGGAGCCTGCTTTGTCCTTGTGCCAATGGAGCTGGACTGGGATGAAGGAGATGAGGATGGACAGGGTCCAGGCCAGGCCGACCATGATCAAGGCCACGCGCTGGGTCATTTTGCGCTGGTAGTGGAAGGGCTTAGAGATGGCCCAGTAGCGGTCCACGCTGATGACGCACAGGTTCAGGATGGAAGCGGTGGAGCACATAATGTCGAAGGCCACCCAGACGTCGCAGAAGGCCCCAAAGGGCCAGTAACCGGCCACCTCAGCGACGGCTTTCCAGGGCATGACCAGCAGAGCCACGAAGAGGTCGGACACGGCCAGAGACACGATGAAGACATTGGTCATCTTGGCGCGCAAGTGGCGGCTGTGCACAATGGCCGCACACACCAGCACGTTGCCCAGCAGGGTCCAGATGATGAGCAGGGTCAGGAGGCAGGCGGTGACCACCTGCGAGGGCCTCAGAGGTGCCGCCTCCCCCGAGTCCCCCAGGGCGCCTCCGGGAGCCAGCTGTTGCTGCCCGAACCACGCGGTGCCATTGCGCCCCGGCAGCAGCATGTCGGGCTCCGCGGCAGGGATGAGCTGCGTGCGCTCCCAACTTCAGCCCTGTGCCCCGCGGGCGGCCCCATCGGGCACCCGGGGGTAGCCGAGGGTACCCGCGGCCAAGGGATCCTAGAGCCCTAGGGGACTCTCACCGTGCGCTGCGCTGGGGCTCCGGATCGCGCGAGGACCCTTCTCGCCTCCGGGTTGGTGGCCGCGTTGCGCCCCTTCGGTGCGGGCGCCGGGGACAGGAAGCAGCCGGGAACCGCCGAGCTGTTTCTGGGAGCCCGCAACGCGCGGCGCCAGGAGGCAGCGGCGACTGTGTTGGGTTCGCAGCCGGAGAAGCAAAGAGCTGGCCACCACCGAGGGGGCGGGGGGGCGGGGGCCGGGAGCGGCCGGCACGGGGCGAGCGCTGCGGCGCAGCCTTGGTCCCGGGCTGCTCCCGGGGCCGGCGCTCCCGCCCACGCGCCTCCGCGCTCCCCGCTCTCCAGCGCACCCGCCCCACCGGTGCCTGGGCGCTCTCCCTGTCCGCGCTCTGCCCGCCGGAGCCTAGGGACGAATATGCAGGTCCTAGAGACAGTCCAGTGCCAGATAGTCGCCGCGTGCCGGGGAGAACACGCCCCAGTAAGATAAAGAGGTGCCTGGCCCGGCCCTGGTGCCCGGCTGCCCTGGTCCCGGCCCGGCCCCTGCCCCGGCGGCCTTTGGGAAACAGGAAGGAAGGGTAGGGATGGGGAGTGGGGGAGGCACTGGCGGCTGGACTGGGAGAGTGGTCTGCAGGGTAAAGGGGGCGACTTCGGATTCCTCACCGACAGGCGTCCCAATTCGAAATGGATTTCTGGCTGTGCGACCTTGAGAGCGCAATTTAACTACCCTGGGCCTTGGTTTCCTCATCCACAAAATGAGGCGATGATGCCTGCTCCTCTGTGCGGTGGCAGGGTTGGTGGCAGGGTTCTGGGAAGCCGTCCGGAGAAGGCCCACCTGCCCCTTCACCCCGGCCCCACCTGCACCGGAGGCGTGGCTCCTGGGCACCTCTCCCAAACTGCCCTGCCACACACACACTCATTCTAAGATGCGGGGCCTTACCGGACCAATTGGGAGAGTCCGCTCCGCTCCCTTCCCCCTCGCCCCCACCCAGTCCTGGAGCCATTTGTCTTTTGGGGGATAATTGCGAGGAACCGGGGAGACAAGGAGGAGGAAGGGAGCCCCCAGCAGTTGGGCGCCGCCTCTGAGCGGGGCGGTCGCAGTCGTGAGCGGGATGCGTTAGTACTACCTCCGCTCTTAACAGAAGAGGAAGCAGGTTGGAATGGGTGGCCCAAAGCCTAAAATTAAAAAAAAAAAAAAAGGTGGGAAAACTCCGGGAAGGTGTTCCAGGATCTTACCACGCCTCCCCCGCTGACAAGTTCTGCCTGCGAAGCGCCAGGTCTCTCGCTGGTGTTAAGCTCAGCTGCAGGCAACTGGAGGGAAATGGACGAGGCATCAGAGAGCTGCAAGGTTCAGTCTGAGACCTCTTGGGAGGCTGAGAAACTGGGGGTGCATTCTCATCCCTCCGACTGGGACCACCTGCCCCATGCATCCCGGCCCCACCTGCACCCCGGAGCTACACCCAGCGATCCCAGCACCTCAGACTCAGCCCGCTCAGCTTTCAACAGCCTTTCCCCTTCCGACCTTCTCCCCCTGCCCTGCTCTCTATTGGAGTTGGCAAGGCCACCTGCCCGGATGTCTACGCCCGAAACTGGAGTCGCACTTACCACCTGTCTCTCCCCATCTCCTGGAGCGGGACCACTCCTGTCCGCCACCAATGTCCCGGTCCAGGGCTTCCCCACCCTGTTTTATGGTGACACTCTGCTGCGTTAGTACACTCCAGGTTCTGCTATGATCCTCTGTCCACCCTCCACTCGATGGCAGGCACAGCAGTCCTTGTCAAATGTAACCATAGTCATGCCACCCCTCGCCCCCCGACGGAGAGCCCGCAGGAGCTCCCCGTGATCCCCGAGCCTTGGACAGTCATGCGAAGTCTCTGAAACATTTCCTCATCTTGCCCTTGCTCACTGCCCCTGCGTCTTCCGCTGTTCCTCCTCCTTGTCCGTAGGCAGCCTAGACTCAAGCCCCTTCCGGCCGCCCGCCCCCGACACAGATGGCCATTTCTCGAGGGGTCCTGTGGGAGTTCCCCACGCTGGGTAAGCGCCATCCCCTCGTGTCCCGCGGAGGCCGACTCGTGAGGTCAGGGCAGAGCCCGGGTCCTGCAGACAGGGGTTTGAATTTCAGTTCCTTATTCTTTTATTCAGCAAATATTTACTGAGTACTCATGATGTCCCAAAGGCTGTTTTATTCACAGGAAATGCAAAAGTGTATGCAAGTACGCATTGCCTTTTCCCCCTTCAAGGTTATAGTCTAGTGCTGGAGACAGACTTCAACCTGAGGATCATCTGGAGAAACCTCCAGCTGTGCCAAGTGACAGCATTATGAGGGAGGGACCTAGGCGAGACATTTAAGGAAGGCTTCCCTGGGGAAGTCCCCCTTTGGGTTGAAATCACAGCTAAGTGGACAAAAGGGAGGACAGAGGGAAGGAAAGGCACGGCTGGCAGGAACAGGCATTTACCAGCTGTGGGATCTTGGGCAAGTTACTTGAGATCTTTGAGCCCCCGTTTCCTCATCTTCGAAATGGGTCGATCGCAGCCGTTTAAAAGGCAAGTGCGATGAGGCCCAAGCACATCCTCTGTGGGGGGCTCCGAGTCCCCCTCTTTCCTCCACTGTCCCCGTGCCCGTCCTTGCCTGGGAGGCTCTCCAAGGAGGCCCCTGCCCTGGCTCTGTGACAGGGAGTCAGAAAGTGGGCGCGACATTGGACCTGAGAGGCTGGAGGAGGACTGAATGGTCCCAGGAGGCAGAGAGGATGTTCATCTTCATAATAAGGAGCGGAGGGAGCCAAGCGGGAGAGAGACTGAAAGCTCCGGGTGGAAGTGATGTGGAGCAGGCGCGGGAGGCGGGGTCTGCAGGAGGGTCGCGAGGCGCAGAAGGGGGCATCTCGCAGGACTGCCTATTTATTGCCTCCGCAGAGCTGAAGAGCGGCAGGAGGATTTGCGTGTGGGGACACCTTGGACAGACGCTGCCTGGAGACTGGACCGCGCGGCCAAGGCTCCGTCGGCCGTGAGGAGCGCTTAGCTGTGCCCGCCCGGGAACCCGCCTGAGTCTCCGGACTAAGGCGCTCCCGTGCTCCCGGGGAACCTCATGTTGGCTACTGTTGCGGCAATTGTGACACCGTGTTGTTGCCATTCACTGCTCTTCCTGGCTGTTGAGTCCTCTAACCACCAAACTTCTTAAATCAAGGACTGCGTCTTATTCAGAGAGAAAAGGACATCTTGGAGCCTCTGGCTCCAGTCATAGCCGGGTCTTTGCAGGTACAAAAGCCAGTGCATCCCCCCTTTCCTCACACATGTCTGAGTGGAGTTTCCGTTGTCACCTGCAACTGAAAAAGCCCTGCCTGGCACCAAACATAGAAAGGCGCTTTCGCCAGGTGGTGGCATGAGAACGACAGGGTGGGGACGGTGCAGGGGGGCGGGGGCAGGGGGTGGGCTGTGCAGGGGAGCCAGAGGGAGACTCATTCCGGGGCGGGGGACAGTCATGACGGCCAACAGCACGCGCCATGGCTCAGAGGCACGACGCTCCCCGTGTGGAGGGCGAGGCCCTCAGGACTCCACGGCTTCTCCGCTGCTCTCCGAAGTTCTGTCACTGAGCTCTTAGGCACACAGAGCGACAGTAACAGGCAGCTGCCGCCCGCGTCCCCTCCCCTTCCCCGGCAGGGCTGCTGGGGCAAGGCTTTCCCAGAAGCAGCGGCTGCCCTTTCTCACCCAGGCTCTTTCCCACACTTTTCAAAAGAGCTGGGCCTGGCGAGCAGCTGAAGAATGAGGAGTGCCTTCGGGCGGCCTCGGAGCCCGGCCTCGTCACGCGGACTCTCGCCAACTCCGGGTCGGCTAATCAACTCCCGAGATAACAACTCCTGAGATATTGAACTCCTTAACTCTTATCAGATCCCAGCTGAGCCTGGCCCTCCGAGGGCAACAGCAAGGAAATGATCCTCACACACGTTTGGCTCTGGCCAAGTAGCACTGAGGATTTTCTCACGACATCTTAGTGCGCTGGGTTTCCTAATCCGGTGGGCAAATAGTCTCCCATGTAAACTCTTTGATCCTTTCTCATCTGAAGGTATATTTTCATGGGATCTGTTTCCCCGAGACAAAGGGTTAAGTCCGCAGACCACGGCAGGGCTTGCTACCCCACCTGCTATCGAAAGAGCGCACGCCTTACGCCAGGCAGGCTTGGTTCGCCCATGACGAGGCACACACCTGAGGTCCCCAGGCGCCAGCTCCGCTGCCGCCCTTGGCTCGGCCCCTCGGGGCCCAGGCAGACAGTGATGCCCCACTGTCAGCATCCCTCCCCGGGGCCGGAGACGCCGCCTCACGCCTGCGGGCACTGCCGAGGACCTGGAGGCCTCCTCAAACCCAACGGTCGGCGGCTGGGTCCCCACCTTCTCCCCAGACACAAAAACACAGGCAGCGGAAAGCAGCCCTTCCAGGCAGTAGCTGCGCCAGAAGTTGGCACACGCATGTAGATAGACGAAGGAGGATGGGCTTGCAAGTCAGGCAGGCCGGGGTGCGAGTCCCTCCTCTCCGACTCACGAGCTCTGGGGCCGTGAGCAAGGTCACCACCTCTCTGAGCCGGAGTTTCCTCGTCTTTGAAATGGTGACCTCAAAGGGAGGGGGGCTGGAGAACTGGGTGAAACAGGTGAAGGGATGAAGACGTACAGCTGGGTGGCCACGAAATAGCCACAAGGATGTAAAATAAGGCACCGGGCATATAGGCAATGATATTGTAATAATTACGTCTGGTGCCAGGTGGGGACCTCACTTATTGGGAGGACCACTCTGTAAATTACATAATTACCTGACCACTATACATACACCTAAAACTAATATAAAATACTACTGAATGCCAACTGTAATTGAAAATGAAAAACGTTTAAG